GAAAAGGAAAATCCAAAAGCAGCCTGAGAAGTGAGAATAAAATAGAACCGAAGGTAAGAAAAGATACAAAACCATTTTATAGCAACTTATAAGTTCTCCCTGGTCAGGGATTCTCACTCAAGGTTCATTAAGCAATAATCCAATCAACTGACGGAAGATTTGAGCTCTACCTAATCTCGACCACAAGAAGTATCATTATTTTACATCGGTACAGGAAGTTACCACTCAATATATTCTCGCAATAACAACAGAATTGATTAAGCTTTCTCCTCCAAGCATCTTTACTTTTCTGATATTACAAGTATTTGGCTCTCTTTCAGGGATGTAAACATGCAACCTAATTAGAAGTACATAATTTACTTAAGCAAACTCCAAATTGAGATTTAACCAAAAATGGAATTGAAAGACCACTCATAATCATACTTGTACATGGACCTCCAAATATACTACAAAGCTTATAGATCATAAAAAACTACATGCCCCCTTCAGCTTTGTTAACATCACTAAGTCAATGGATCTTCTCAAAGGTACACAGACAGGAAAAACATAGCTGTAGACAGCAACCAAAATGAGCCCATAGTTTTCAGATTCATTTGACCCATACAAGAATTTTGATAACACTTCAAAGTAATAATAATGAAAAGACAGATTCAGAGATATCAGGGTAAAACAACATGAACAATCAAAGAGTATGGTGCAAAAAACATACAAACTCAGAATCCCACATCCTCAACATGTGAAAAGGCACAAAACAGAACACAGCACGCATACCAGTAATAATCCTTTTTGGCGAAAGCTCCCTCACATTGTCAAGAAGCCTCGACAACCCATTCGGCGTGTTCGCATGGTCCACAATAACCCCAAAAGCCTGTTCCTCATCTATCAACTCACACCTGCCTGGGACAGTATCAACTTCCTCTATCCCTCTAACAATGTCCTCCAGAGGAGCCCCAACAGCAATGCCAACTGCCACAGCTGCAAGAATGTTGTACACATTGCACCTCCCGAGCAGCCCAGATGAAATCTCCAAAATACCCTCGGGCGTGCTCACCAGAACCTGCGTCTCAAACAAGGAAAGCTCGAATTTCAATGGACGCACGTCAGCATTCTTGTTTTCCACTGCAAAAGTAATAACCGGCACATCCGAATTCCCCTGAGAGATAAAGAAGGCCGCGTTTGGGTCGTCAATATTAACGACCTTGCGGTGACGTGCGGGGTCCACCATCCTCGAGAACAGCCTGGCATTAGCCTCCCTGTACTCGTCCTCCGAGCCTTTGAAATCATTCGAGTGGTCCCTCGACAAGTTCGTGAAGACTGCCACATCAAAATCCACCTCGTCACACCTTTCGGATGCGAGCCCATGGTAAGAAGCCTCCATGACTAAAGCCTCTGTCCCGTTATGCACCATTTTTGCTATCACCTTCTGGACCGAAATTGCATCCGTGGGTTTTTTATCCGACTCCAGCTTGTTATCTCCATAGATGCAATCTGCAACGGTGCTCAACATGCCCGTTCGCAAGCCCATTGCTTCGTACACCCCTTTTATCAAGAAAGTGGTAGTCGTTTTCCCGTTTGTTCCCATTATGCCAATAACGGACATGCTTTTAGAGGGATGCCTAAAGAATGAAGCAGCTAGTGAAGCTAGAACTACATCTGTGTCCTCAACAATGACCAAGGCTTTACATCCTAATGTGCCTTCAATGTCTATTTCCTTACTGGCAACAACAGCAACAGCACCTCTTTTGTCCGCCTCGGACAAATAGAGATGGCCGTCTGTATTTTTTCCAACACGACACACGAATAAATCCCCACTCTCTACAAGCCGGGAATCGTGGGAGATTCCGCTAATTTCGATCTCTAGGTTACCATAGACAGCTAAAGGAACCACTTTGCTTTCGTCTAATAGTTCGGCTAAGGTCATCTTGAACTTGGGTTCGACAATCCTAGTCTTCGTCCTACCTAACGCATCAAGATCAATGTCGAATGATTTCGATAAATCGCCATCATTGACCTCGAGTTCTTCACTTTCCTCCACTGGCTCGTCGTCTGGAACCTCGGCCAGCACTCGGAGCTGTTCGATCTCCTCCAAATCAACGGCTTCTTCAGGGTCCAGCTCGTCGACGCTCGCCTCTTCGGGCTCGGGCTTCTTTTTTATGAGCCCCTTGTTGATAAATTCCTCGCGCTTCAGGGCGATGGCCTCGTCGATGTCCCCAAATAGATCGTCCCCGGAGCCGTCGCTGCTGGCGGAGGCAGGTTTGACCTCGGTTGCCTCGATGGCCTTGAGGAAAAGGGGCAGGTCCTTCTTGTTCTCCTCTTCCTGGATTTTGCGGGCTCGGGCAGCCTGGCGCTGAATTTGCTGGAATTTGTTGAATCCGTGCATGGAGTCTTCGGGGGCTTCCGGGGGGTCGTCGTCGGCGGGGGTAGGGTAGTATTTCCCGTCGGGGCCGATGGCGGAGACGGCGGTGGAGGCGGTTAGTAGGGGCGGCTTGAGAAGGAGGCTGAATGAGGTGGGCCTGAGCTTGGGGAGGAAGGAGAACGATGACGGTGGAGAGAAGGTTGGGAGAGAGAGGAAAGGCATGGCCATTATTGGCTCAGTGAGTGTGTGTGTGTGTGAGAGAGAGAGAGAGAAAGGGTTTAGCTTGGTTGAGCAGTGTAGAAGAGAAGTGGATAAAGGGGTTTAGGAAAGAGAAGACATGTCTGTAATTTGGAGCTGCAGGGTGAAACGACGTCGTTAGAGGGGAAATTAAATAAAACAAGCCCGTTTGTGATTCGGCTAGGCTCAGGCAGTCAGGCTCGTTATTTTTTTGTTCTGATTCTATGGAGTTAGGTTCGGTAAGAGCACCCACAATGTTTTGGGTCTCTTAACAAAAAATCACATGTCATGTAAGAAATAAATTTAGTCTATAAAAATGTGTTTCACAATGCAATTAAAAGTGGACCTAGTCTAGCTTATGTGGCAATGAAAAAAAGAGACTAACTCTTGGATCTATTTTGGACTCAAGTGTGAACCTAACAATAGTAATCATTTACTATTATTATATTTTTATTGGTTGTTAGGTATTCTAGACTTGGTACTTTTTTTTTGCATTAGATAGATTTTGAATTTTTTAACTTGGATTTGTACATGCCACTATAGACTTAAATTTATTATTTGCCACATATGCAAAAAGAGACCGAAAGTATTGTGGATGCTCCAAGGTTTGAATTCTTTATTTTTATATTTTATGAGTTAAATAAAATTTGTTGGTTGTTAGTGAAAAAATAAGATAGAAAACAAATTATGTTATTCATGCAGAAGAGTTGCTCGTCAGCTCGACTCATTAAAATTTGAGTTCGACTCCAAAATGATCAGGCGAGCTCGAGCTCGTTAAGAGTTATTTAGTCAATGAAACTTAAGGCTCAATAAGTTCAAAAATATGAGTTTGAACATAATTTTTAGAACTCTTTTCAACTCGTTAAAGTTCGAGTTTGAATTATTATTTTTTCAATAATGACTTGAGCTCAAGCTCATTTATTAGATCATTTTGCTCGACTAGACTTGATAAAAAATTCAAGCCGGGCTCAAATATTAAAAGTTTGAGTTCGAATAGCATGACCAGATATATGTAGCCTTCCAAGCTAATTATCCCTTACGTATTACACATCAACATTCCCATTTAACACTAACATATGTTGACTTCACACATAAAAATACATGAAAAAAAAAACACCTATATTATTCATGAGACCTACTATAATTAATTTATTTGATCACATTGTGCACTAAATTGTTTTAAATTAAATAAGTAAAATTAATTTTGCATATTCACTAGTATAAGGTCCAATATAGATAATAGACGACTCCAGTTTTTTAGGGTGATCTCCGAGTTCGGGCGTGGAACTCCTCCTCTAAGGTCCTGAATTGAATCGGGGATTGAACAGAATACCTACAAATTAAAGAGCGTCGGAATTGCTCCGGCGCAAGACCCTCATATGCTTAAGTTTGAATCCTACGGCGGAAGATAAACTTGCAATAATGTAAATTTTATGTCTTAAATGTTGTTTTACCTCTCGCAGTTAATGCCTTCACTATATATAAGTGTTTTATCCTTTGTATGGATTTATTAGGTTTATAACATTTGCGTGGATCAACCTGCTTGATAACTAAGGGTCGATCACCCGGATTATAGGGGCCGTTCACTGTACAAATACTCATGACTCGGATCAATGTGCGAGTATAGTCGATGTCCTCAACTTGTATAAGATCGATACACAGATGTACCTTAAAATCGGGATTGATGTCCGAATCCCTTAAAATCGAGCTCTGATGTCGATGTACCTTAAAACCGGGATCAATATATGCATACGGTCTATCCGGATTGATTCGGTCCACCTGGATCGATGTCTATGCACGATTATATTCCATATCAACTACATTTCTTAGAAGATATAAAATGATGAAATCCCCTCTTAATATAATTTGAAAACGTGCGGAGCCTAGATGACTGCTTCGCACGCTTCGGAAGCTTACTTGGCAACATTACATGCTTCGGCTTTTGATTCGAATACATTTTCTAATTGTTTAAAATAAAATACTTAATAAATAGGATTTTTATATGTCGAACTCCAAATTAAATAGGATTGTTTATCTCCAACTCCAAATTCTTATCGTATAAAGCTTACTTGACAACATTACATCTTAGGATTCTTATCTTATCGTGTAAACCAAAAAAAAAAAAAATAGCTTTATATATTATTTTATTTATATAATTAATGTAAACAATAACTTTTTTATATAGTTTAAATTAAAAAAATACTATAATTTTATAAATAGGATTCTTATATGTCGTGTAAATCCTCCAACTCTAAATTAAATAAGATTCTTTATCTTATAAGGCTTCCCAAATAAATAGGTTATATGCCGTGTAAATCCTCCAACTCCAAATTCTTATTATATAAAGTTTACTTGACAACATTACATCTTAGGATTCTTATCTTGTCGTGTAAATCAAAATAAATCCTCCAACTCCAAATTCTTATCATATAAAAAGCTTACTTGATAACATTACATACATCTTAGGATTCTTATCTTGTCGTGTAAACTAAAATAAAAAAATTTAGCTTTATATATTATTTTATTTATATAATTAATGTAAACAATAATTTTTTTATATAGTTTAAATTAAAAAAAAAACTACTATAATTTTACAAAAAAAATATAATTTGAAAACGTTCTGAGCCTAGATGACTGCTTCGCACACTTCCGAAGCTTACTTGACAAAATTATATGCTTCGGCTTTTGGTTCGGATACATTTCCTAATTGTTTAAAATAAAATACTTAATAAATAGGATTCTTATATGTCGTGTAAATCCTCCAACTCCAAATTAAATAGGATTCTTTATCTCCAACTCCAAATTATTATCGTATAAAGCTTACTTGACAATATTACATTTTAGGATTCTTATCTTATCTCCAACTCCAAATTCTTATCGTATAAAGCTTACTTGACAACATTACATTTTAGGATTCTTATCTTATCGTGTAAACCAAAATAAAAAAATTTAGCTCTATATATTATTTTATTTATATAATTAATGTAAACAATAACTTTTTTATATAGTTTAAATTAAAAAAAAATACTATAATTATATAAATAGGATTCTTATATGTCGTGTAAATCCTCCAACTCTAAATTAAATAGAATTCTTTATCTTATAAGGCTTCCCAAATAAATAGGTTATATGCCGTGTAAATCCTCTAACTCCAAATTCTTATCATATAAGCTTAGTTTATATGTCGTGTGAATCCACCAACTCCAAATTAAATAGGATTCTATCTTCAACTCCAATTCTTATCGTATGAAGCTTACTTGACAACACTACATCTTAGGATTCTTATCTTGTCGTGTAAACCAAAATAAAAAAATTTAGCTTTATATATTATTTTATTTATATAATTAATGTAAACAATAACTTTTTTATATAGTTTAAATAAAAAAATACTATAATTTTATAAATAGGATTCTTATAAGTCGTGTAAATCCTCCAACTCCATTAGGATTCTTATCTTGTCGTGTAAACCAAAATAAAAAAATTTAGCTTTATATATTATTTTCTTTATATAACTAATGTAAACAATAAATTTTTTATATAGTTTAAATAAAAAAAAATACTATAATTTTATAAATAGAATTCTTATAAGTCGTGTAAATTCTCCAACTCCATAAAAAAAAATGCTATAATTTTATAAATAGAATTCTTATAAGTCAGTGTAAATCCTCCAACTCCATTAGGATTCTTATCTTGTCGTGTAAACCAAAATAAAAAAAAAAAATTAGCTTTATATATTATTTTATTTATATAATTAATGTAAACAATAACTTTTTTATATAGTTTAAATTAAAAAAAATACTATAATTTTATAAATAGGATTCTTATAAATCGTGTAAATCCTCCAACTCTAAATTAAATAGGATTCTTTATCTTATAAGACTTCCCAAATAAATAGGTTATATGCCGTGTAAATCTTCCAACTCCAAATTCTTATCATATAAAGCTTACTTGACAACATTAGTATTCTTATCTTATCGTGTAAACCAAAATAAATCCTCCTACTCCAAATTCTTATCATATAAAGCTTACTTGATAACATTGCATCTTAGGATTTAGCTTACTTGATAACATTGCATCTTAGGATTTTTATCTTGTCATGTAAACCAAAATAAAAAAATTTAGCTTTATATATTATTTTATTTATATAATTAATGTAAACAATAACTTTTTTATATAGTTTAAATTAATAAAAATACTATAATCCACTTGCATATTATATCTTTTCAATCCAACCATAAATAAATTATTTAAATTTTTTTAGAATATATATAAAAATACATTGAAATAGTTATAGAATATTATATGATCTTTCTAATATATTTTAAAGAGTTGAAATAGTTATATAACAACATATGTGTTTTTTCTATTATTTTATGTTTTATATTTTTTTTTAAACAACCCGTGTAGTACACAGGTGTCGTACTAATATGCTTTCATGTAAAATTTCTAAACTAATTAATGGAAATTGCCTATTCAATAAATAGAAAATAAGTACACATATAATAGTAAATGTTTCTACCCAATAAATCTTTCCTTCCCTCGCCCAAAAAGAAAAAACCCCAAAAACCTAGCCCCTTCTCATTCGAATCAAGTCGCCTTCCTCGGCGGCGGTGCAGCGCCGGCCGGTGGTCGTGCTCGACCGCCGCCTCTCCTCTCCTACCCCGACCCTCTGATGTTGCTGCAGAAGACCGGCGTTGGTTGGTCTGCTCAAGCCATTTTCGCCGGATTGTGGCGGCGGTTGGAGGAGGCAAGCTCTTGGTCGTTGATCAGCTTGCAATTGGCGGTGATACCAGCTGGTCTCGATTGGAGGTGAGTCTCCTATCAATTTCTGCTTTGGTTCGTCTTGCTAATTCTGCGAGCGAATTGAGAACCCTCGGGCGGTCCCCTTTTTTCGGCGGACCTCTATTCGGGGCTTTCTCGTACTGATGCCGGTGGTCTGAGGTGATATTGGTTAGTTCGCAGGTCGAGAGGCGGGACGGGGCTCTGATGATGTGTCAGAGTTGAGGGCCCGAGCTGCCCCCCTGTTTCCGGCTAGTGGTGTTAGACGGCGGGGTTCTGGTACTACTTCGCTCGGCTAGTGGTGTTAGGCGTGCTCGGGAGATGCTAGAGTGGGTGCCTGTTCGGCTGTCCCTCCGGTTGAGGCGGGTTGTTTCGGAGTTTAGTTTGTGTTTGGGATTGACTTTTTGTATAGGCCTTGTGGCCGTTTCGGAAGCAGTCTCCTAGACTTGGACTATTCTTTGTGTGGTTTTTTCGTTGTCTTATGGTGTAGTAGGTTTGTGTTTTTGGTTTGGGCGCTTTGCCTGTGTGTCCATGTACTGTGTTGTGTTTTGGTTTGGGCAGTTGCTTCTGTGAGTCCGAGTGTCAACTTTATTATCCTGTTAGGATCAGACACTCGGGTATTCCTCTGTTGGGGTCTTTTTTAGTTGTGTTAGTTTTTGTTAGTTGTTAGTGTAGTTGCGAGTTTGTCATTCTAGCTGTGCTAGATAGTTCTAGGCGATCTTCGGATCTGCCTCCCAGTTTTAAAGTCTCTGGTTGTACTATTCAGCCTTTGGCTGCTTTCTTTTCGCACATTATGTGGTTTTATTAATATAGTACCTCTATCGTTTCGGGAAACAAAAAATATTTCTACCAAAAATGTTTCAGTGATTTATGTAAGTGAAGTGAGCAAAATAACCCAACAAAAATTCTTCTTCTTATCAAATTCAAATCGAAGTCATTCAATAAGTTGTGAACAGATGCCAATTTTAGAAAGGAACACATAAGAGAAAAGAAAAGAAAATGATGCTATACTTTTTGATGGACCTATGTTTTGGATTACCCACATTGGGCATAACGTATCTGGGCCTCCTGATAAAGCCCAAGTGTAAAGTAAAATATCTCAAATGTAATCATTTTCGAGATGAGCTTTCGGTTCCCTCTTCAAAATTTAAAGGGAATTTATTAAGTAGTGGGATTTCATAATATTTAAAGAAACCAAAATATTCACTATGTTTAATGGATTATTTTTTCATTTTATTTATTATTATTATTATTACTACTACTTAAATGTAACAATTTATTATTTATTATCATCATTTATATTATTAATTGTAAAATAGAATTATTAGAATATCAAGTGTTGTTTACTTTCTACTTTTCGTGTGAAATTTCATCAGCATACATTAGAATATTTGATAATTTTGAAGAGTTCACACTGAAGTCATATCGAGATAGTAAAGTTTGATAGATTCTATAGATTTTTAAATTGATGATACCAATAAATTAATGAAATTTTAAAATCACAAATTCCATATTGAGAAGCCCACAATTAGTCAATAAAAATAAATACACACTTTAAAATTATGAATAAAAAAGTCAACCGTATCATCATGTATCTCATGCATCCTATCCGTTAACATAATAAAATAACAATCCCCAAAGCTCAAAATAGGCACGCTCTCATGAGTCAAAAGTCACAAGAAAAAATTGTACCTAACGGTAACATAGTTTTCAAATTAAATAATACAATTAATATTAAAATGTTTGTCAAATTATGTCAAATTAAGGATATTTATTTTTCTTACATATCTCTAGTTAGTTAGTTTCCATTTACTTATTAACAATTCAACATATAGGAGGAGCCTAAAGTAAACGGCACCAACTCATTTTCTCCAAAGTAACATTAATTGACATGTTTATTTAATTTTATATTAGAATATTTAATTTTATCTTTCACCAAGAACTTCGATACAGTCATTATTTCTCAATATAAAAACATACTTCATATTCATATGTTACTTTAAATTAATATAATATAAATAATAGTACGATATTACATATAAGTATGTATTTAAAAAAAAAAAACGATTGATTAACGGTTAGACTTCTAACAACGCCATTGATGTTGTTGATCATCCCCATTAAGTGTCATCCAAAAGAAAATAATGTCTTAAGAAAGGATATATATATGAGTGCAATATAAATAAGACATAAGGTAACTAACCTAAATAATAATAAAAAGTTGACATCCATATCACAAAACATTTATACTAATAAGTTCCCTATAAAAGAGATGTGTTATTAGTAAAAAACCTAACTGATACAATATTGTTGAAGTGTTTTTTTGTTTTATTTTGTTTTTCTAATAGTAACATTGTTTTATGAAACAAAAGGAAATAACAAATCAAATATTTTGCGAGTACAACCAATCTTTCTGAATATTGAAAATTACAAAAATGCTCTTGCTTACTTGTTTTATTAATTGATCATTTTGTCCCTTAATTGAAGCTGTTGGGAATATTTATGACATTTGTCATGGTATATATATAATATATTGGCTCAACTATTTTATGGAATTAATTTCAATTTTTTTATGTATGGCATATCTTCTATAACAACTGTTAGGTGAGTGGAACCCTATTATTCTTTTTCAATATATTCCAAACTTTTGATTTATGTTATTTATTTAACATGGTTTTTGTAAAAATATGTTGTCTAATGATTAAGCAGGTATAATAACAATATTATTGTTGTGAGGCTGACTATTCATTAGACATGCGTACCTTAAAAAAGCATAAAATGCTTTTTTTTTTTTATTATTATATTTACATTATGACATTTAAGTATAAAATTATATATTTAGTGAAATAGTATGACTGATTGATGTATTCATTTTATGCCATATATGTGTTAAACTAATTGGCAAAGAATGACATATATGAGTTAAATAAAATTTGTTGGTTGTTAGTGAAAAAATAAGATAGAAAACAAATTATGTATTCATGCAGAATTATATGAAATGAGTTGCTCGTCAGCTCGGCTCATTAAAATTTGAGTTCGACTCCAAAATGATCAGGCGAGCTCGAGCTCGTTAAGAGTTATTTAGTCAATGAAACTTAAGGCTCAATAAGTTCAAAAATATGAGTTTGAACATAATTTTTAGAACTCTTTTCGACTCGTTAAAGTTCGAGTTTGAATTATTATTTTTTCAATAATGACTTGAGCTCAAGCTCATTTATTAGATCATTTTGCTCTACTAGACTTGATAAAAAGTTCAAGTCGGGCTCAAATATTAAAAGTTTGAGTTCGAATAGCATGACCAGATATATGCAGTCTTCCAAGCTAATTATCCCTTACGTATTACACATCAACATTCCCATTTAACACTAACATATGTTGACTTCACACATAAAAATACATGAAAAAAAAAACACCTATATTATTCATGAGACCTACTATAATTAATTTATTTGATCACATTGTGCACTAAATTGTTTTAAATTAAATAAGTAAAATTAATTTTGCATATTCACTCCTATAAGGTCCAATATAGATAATAGACGACTCCGGTTCTTTAGGGTGATCTCCGAGTTCGGGCGTGGAACTCCTCCTCTAAGGTCCTGAATTGAATCGGGGATTGAACAGAATACCTACAAATTAAAGAGCGTCGGAATTGCTCCGACGCAAGACCCTCATATGCTTAAGTTTGAATCCTACGGTAGAAGATAAACTTGCAATAATGTAAATTTTATGTCTTAAATGTTGTTTTACCTCTCGCAGTTAATGCCTTCACTATATATAAGTGTTTATTCTTTGTATGGATTTATTAGGTTTATAACATTTGTGTGGATCAACCTGCTTGATAACTAAGGGTCGATCACCCGGATTATAGGGGCCGTTCACTGTACAAATACTCATGACTCGGATCAATGTGCGAGTATAGTCGATGTCCTCAACTTGTATAAAATCGATACACAGATGTACCTTAAAACCGGGATCAATATATGCATACGGTCTATCCGGATTGATTCGGTCCACCTGGATCGATGTCTATGCACGATTATATTCCATATCAACTACATTTCTTAGGGGTCGTTTACTTCGAGGGATGGGATAAGACTAAATAATCAAGTGACCTTTACACCTCAGCATTTAGTCCCATGTTTACTTTGAGGGATGGTTTTTTCAGAAACGAATCCCTTATTTACTTCACTTGATTAGATGATATGATAGAACGTGATATCCCTAATATACCCTTCCTTATTAATTGATTGTTGGGACTTGGGAGCAGTCGGCATTTCCTCTCCATTTTTGTTCCTGAACATTGACGAGCCCTAATTAAGGGCAGTGTGAGCGAAGGCGAGAGATTGGGGAAACGACGACGAGCCGCTGAGATCTAAATCAGACATTGGACCCGACGACAAGCCGCAACGACCGGAATTCGGAAGTGGACGACCTCGAAAGACGGAAGTGCTGTGAGCTCCAGGACCTGTAAGTATGGTTTGGATTTGTTTCTGTTAATTATCCATGTCAATAATGAACTGAAATAATCTGTCATTTTTTCTGTGTGCTAAAATTTTTTTCGCTGAATGAAAATAAATATCTATCATTTTCTGACATTTCAGTCGAAGAGGAGATTCAACCACGACACAACATTTTCGAAGAAGAACAATCTTCTGATCACGACCAAGGAATTTGCACAAGGATCTCACCCGAGGGCGAAGAATCTGCTTTCGAATATGTAGAGGCTGTTCTACTCGGCTCAGGTCTGAACTGGGACGAGTTCCTGCTGAGGTGGCTTTCCTCGTACGAAATCCTCGACTCCTCACTATTCGACGAGGTTGAGCTGTTCTCAAGCCGGCCCCACCACGACCAGAAACTCCTGTTCGACTGTGCCAACGAGGCTTTAGAGGAGGTTTGCAAGGATTACTTTGGGTGCTTTAATGGAAAATCGAGAAGTACTAAAACTAATGTTCGGCCGTTGCCTAAAGGGATGGACCTCATTCATGATGTGTGGGAAAGAGTCGAAAAGCGCCTTCTTCATAATAATTCACAGTCTCTACCTCTCGACGGGCTCTTGAAGAGGGACTTGGTGGGGTCCACCGAAAACTCGGATGTTGAGCTTATTGTGCAAGAAGTTGAGGAGATAATTTTTGATGAGTTGGTGGATGAAATTTTTTTAGGGTGTTTTCGGGATTGTGCTTTCGAGCGTGAGTTTGACGTGTGTTATAGTGAGTCCACAAACATCAAGGATGTCGATTCGTAGGGGGTAATAAGTGATAACCGACTACTTGTTTTTCAAACTACATTTGTGTTGAGTGGTCTCGGGAGTTAGTTTTTTAGGCTCGCATGGGTTCGGTTTGGGATTTCGGTAAGGATAACCAAAATCTTATGACGTTACTATGTTGTGAGATTTTTAGTGCAAGAACTTACGAATGAGGAATAATGGGTCCCCTTGATCGATACAATGACTAACCTCGTGAAAGAAGTCGAGCTCTTGTTTTGTTTTGTTTTGTTTGTACTCAGTTTGTGTGGTCTTTTTATCTTGTTTGGTTTGCACATAGGTTTTGGGGTTTGTACTCAGTTTGTGTGTTGTACTTTCATCTTGTTTGGTTTGCAAAAAGGTTTTGGGGTTTGTAAAGAAAGCATCTGAGAATTTGTATTTCATTTTTCCATCCTCACCTGTAATGCCTTTTAACTTGTACAATACATGTGTTTAGTTCCACTTCAGTTTCAATTTAATTTGAACTTTGTGTTATGGTGCTTATCTGAACTTGTTACCAAGAATAAAATATAACAAGAACAAAAGATTCACACTTTTACATACCACATATTAATGAGAGAAAAAAATGTCCTTAGTGAAAAAGTTATGGAGAGAACAAATCAGTTAAAAACACTGCTCTTCCTTCACACAGGAACAAAAGATTCACACTTTTACATACCACATATTAATGAGGAAAAAAAATGTCCTTAGCAAAAAGTTATGGAGCAGACAAAACAGTTAAAAACTTGAAAATACTGCTCTTCCTTCACACAGTATGCCTGATTATTTATGTTTTTTCGATTGTAGAAGTGAATGTGAGAAATTCGGTGGTCTCTTCTTAGTAAAAGATCTCGTTTTACTTTCCGACTCGTCCTCGTCACTTCCGTCACCAAGGACATTTTCGACCTTTGCAGATGGAGCCTCATTTTTCGTTATGGCTTTCTTTTTGTTAGCATTCAATGTGGCAATCAATTTTCTCTTCAGTACAAGTTGCCATTTTGATACACCTGAAAATTATCGGTGTTCTTAATCAGAATAACATGTGTATGACTCAAATATAGGAAATTTAAAAAACAAAAAGAAAAATAACAAGAGAAAGTATCAACATTGGTCCATTTACATGCTCTTTTTCTGCAGTTTACCAATTCCAAGGTGAGTCTTGATGAATTAAGAAGTTAAAACAATCAGATTAGTAGGTAAAACACGATAGTAAAAACCAAACACAAACAAGATATCACAATATCATGTAATCACGATTTGTCACCCCTACTAATCAGGAACCAAATCAAGTACATAATTTTTCTGTTTTAAAATACCATCCTATATGTAAAGAAACGCCAAATGACAAACGAATGTTCTTTCGGATGGTGAAATATTTTCCTTTGAGCGATGAAAAGAGCAAATAGAGATCTCATCTCCAGCTATACACAGAAAATGGATATGAAATATTGTTAAAAGGCTTAAAGCTACCAGCTTTAGACCATCTGCAACTCAGAATCGTAAATATGAAGTTCTCTTCTCTCACAGTATTCATGTCAAAGTTCACCATATCACATCATATCGATTAAGCTCAGATTCATTTTCACGGTAACAAAAGATGGAAAATCAACTCAGGGCACATAAATAATCCACTGACAAAATCAACTCAAATATTCACGAAACTTGCATTCAGCAGCTTAAACGCATGAAAACAAATTCAAACGAGGCATGATTTCATTTCAACACAAAACCCACGAACAAGCAATTCACAAGAACAGAAAATGCAAACAGCTTTAAATCTAAATCACATTCACACACTTCCACTGACTTAGACAACACATACACAAATCAAGAACCCAAACAAAAAGTAAGGATTTTAAATGAACCAATAACTTGTTTCATTACAACAGGGCCAGGATTATTAGTATAACCATAAAATGTAACCGTAGCAGTGTTTTCTTTCATATTTGCACAGAAATGATGGAAATTCAGTTATTCACGAGCTAAAATGAACGAGTCCAAGGAAGATAACTACATCATCCCTTTGACCAATAAAATTCATACAAATCAAGCTGAAAACAATGAAATTTAACAACCAATTCCAATCCAGATATAGATATACAGAAATATTGAAATGACACGAAGAAATCACATCTGAGATCAATAATCCAAAATCTCCCAAAATTGCAGATATACAAGAAAAAAAAAAAAAAAAAAAATCAACGAAGAACAGCAAAGACAAAAACAGCACGGAGATAACAAGATTTTTACCTTCACCTGGCACGGAGAAGACCCGAAAGATGTTGGCGGCTGGATATGAGGGTGTCTTCAGAGAAACAAACGGCTTGAAAAAAAAAAACACAAATGTTGGGCTAAGAGGTGCGAATCTTCAAACAACAAATTGGGGCCAAATTGAAATGAAAAAGGTTAATGTAGCGATTAATTAAGCTCACCTTTAGGCCCGACGGAGAATCCAAACCCTAGAGCTTCACAACAAAGTCGTCGTCCTTTCTGCAGAAATTAGGGTAATAGTCGATGTAATCCTTTGAACCACGAATCCTCGCGATCTGACGGATAAAGAAATGGAAATGGAAAGACCGAAGATTACCTTTAGGCGTGACGGAGAGACCGAAGATTACACCTTCCACAGCAATGGCGTCGCGTTTCTGTCGAAATAGGGCAAAATGAAAGACTCTGCGATTTTTTAATTTGGGGTGGGGAGTTGTAAATTGTGGAAGATTAAGGGGTATATTGGTCAGTTCATTTGACATTTTGAGGGTAGAAAAGGAACAAAAAATAAGGGATAATTTTATCAGGTCAGAGGGGCGGGATTTTTTTGTCCGAAATTGGCTGATTGGAGGCTGCCACGTGGGCGCCATGTCATTCAAATCCTGTCCCAATCCGCGCAAGTAAATGTAGGATAACAGGGACTAATTATCTTATCCTGTCCAATCCCTCGAAGTAAACGACCCCTTAGAAGATATAAAATGATGAAATCCCCTCTTAATATAATTTAAAAACGTGCGGAGCCTAGATGACTACTTCGCACGCTTCGGAAGCTTACTTGGCAACATTACATGCTTCGGCTTTTGATTCGAATACATTTTGTAATTGTTTAAAATAAAATACTTAATAAATAGGATTTTTATATGTCGAACTCCAAATTAAATAGGATTGTTTATCTCCAACTCCAAATTCTTATCGTATAAAGCTTACTTGACAAAATTACATCTTAGGATTCTTATCTTATCGTGTAAACCAAAATAAAAAAAAATAGCTTTATATATTATTTTATTTATATAATTAATGTAAACAATAACTTTTTTATATAGTTTAAATTAAAAAAATACTATAATTTTATAAATAGGATTCTTATATGTCTGTGTAAATCCTCCAACTCTAAATTAAATAAGATTCTTTATCTTATAAGGCTTCCCAAATAAATAGGTTATATGCCGTGTAAATCCTCCAACTCTAAATTCTTATTATATAAAGTTTACTTGACAACATTACATCTTAGGATTCTTATCTTGTCGTGTAAATCAAAATAAATCCTCCAACTCCAAATTCTTATCATATAAAAAATAACATTACATACATCTTAGGATTCTTATCTTGTCGTGTAAACCAAAATAAAAAAATTTAGCTTTATATATTATTTTATTTATATAATTAATGTAAACAATAATTTTTTATATAGTTTAAATTTAAAAAAAAAAAACTACTATAATTTTACAAAAAAAAATATAATTTGAAAACGTTCTGAGCCTAGATGACTGCTTCGCACGCTTCCGAAGCTTACTTGACAAAATTATATGTTTCGGCTTTTGGTTCGGATACATTTCCTAATTGTTTAAAATAAAATACTTAATAAATAGGATTCTTATATGTCGTGTAAATCCTCCAACTCCAAATTAAATAGGATTCTTTATCTCCAACTCCAAATTCTTATCGTATAAAGCTTACTTGACAACATTACATTTTAGGATTCTTATCTTATCTCCAACTCCAAATTCTTATCGTACTTACTTGACAACATTACATTTTAGGATTCTTATCTTATCGTGTAAACCAAAATAAAAAAATTTAGCTCTATATATTATTTTATTTATCTAATTAATGTAAACAATAACTTTTTTATATAGTTTAAATTAAAAAAAATACTATAATTTTATAAATAGGATTCTTATATGTCTAAATAGAATTCTTTATCTTATAAGGCTTCCCAAATAAATAGGTTATATGCCGTGTAAATCCTCCAACTCCAAATTCTTATCATATAAGCTTAGTTTATAAGTCGTGTAAATCCTCCAACTCCATTAGGATTCTTATCTTGTCGTGTAAACCAAAATAAAAAAATTTAGCTTTATATATTATTTTATTTATATAATTAATGTAAACAATAACTTTTTTATATAGTTTAAATAAAAAAAATACTATAATTTTATAAATAGGATTCTTATAAGTCGTGTAAATCCTCCAACTCCATTAGGATTCTTATCTTGTCGTGTAAACCAAAATAAAAAAATTTAGCTTTATATATTATTTTATTTATATAACTAATGTAAACAATAACTTTTTTATATAGTTTAAATTAAAAAAAATACTATAATTTTATAAATAGGATTCTTATAAGTCGTGTAAATCCTCCAACTCCATTAGGATTCTTATCTTGTCGTGTAAACCAAAATAAAAAAATTTAGCTTTATATATTATTTTATTTATATAACTAATGTAAACAATAACTTTTTTATATAGTTTAAATTAAAAAAAATACTATAATTTTATAAATAGGATTCTTATAAGTCGTGTAAATCCTCCAACTCCATTAGGATTCTTATCTTGTCGTGTAAACCAAAATAAAAAAATTTAGCTTTATATATTATTTTATTTATATAACTAATGTAAACAATAACTTTTTTATATAGTTTAAATTAAAAAAAATACTATAATTTTATAAATAGGATTCTTATAAGTCGTGTAAATCCTCCAACTCTAAATTAAATAGGATTCTTTATCTTATAAGACTTCCCAAATAAATAGGTTATATGCCGTGTAAATCCTCCAACTCCAAATTCTTATCATATAAAGCTTACTTGACAACATTAGTATTCTTATCTTATCGTGTAAACCAAAATAAATCCTCCTACTCCAAATTCTTATCATATAAAGCTTACTTGATAACATTGCATCTTAGGATTCTTATCTTGTCATGTAAACCAAAATAAAAAAATTTAGCTTTATATATTATTTTATTTATATAATTAATGTAAACAATAACTTTTTTATATAGTTTAAATTAATAAAAATACTATAATCCACTTGCATATTATATCTTTTCAATCCAACCATAAATAAATTATTTAAATCCCTCTATTGTTTCGGGAAACAAAAAATATTTCTACCAAAAATGTTTCAGTGATTTATGTAAGTGAAGTGAGCAAAATAACCCAACAAAAATTCTTCTTCTTGTCAAATTCAAATCGAAGTCATTCAATAAGTTGTGAACAGATGCCAATTTTAGAAAGGAACACATAAGAGAAAAGAAAAGAAAATGATGCTATACTTTTTGATGGACCTATGTTTTGGATTACCCACATTGGGCATAACGTATCTGGGCCTCCTGATAAAGCCCAAGTGTAAAGTAAAATATCTCAAATGTAATCATTTTCGAGATGAGCTTTCGGTTCCCTCTTCAAAATTTAAAGGGAATTTATTAAGTAGTGGGATTTCATAATATTTAAAGAAACCAAAATATTCACTATGTTTAATGGATTATTTTTTCATTTTATTTATTATTATTATTATTACTACTACTTAAATGTAACAATTTATTATTTATTATCATCATTTATATTATTAATTGTAAAATAGAATTATTAGAATATCAAGTGTTGTTTACTTTCTACTTTTCGTGTGAAATTTCATCAGCATACATTAGAATATTTGATAATTTTGAAGAGTTCACACTGAAGTCATATCGAGATAGTAAAGTTTGATAGATTCTATAGATTTTTAAATTGATGATACCAATAAATTAATGAAATTTTAAAATCACAAATTCCATATTGAGAAGCCCACAATTAGTCAATAAAAATAAATACACACTTTAAAATTATGAATAAAAAAGTCAACCGTATCATCATGTATCTCATGCATCCTATCCGTTAACATAATAAAATAACAATCCCCAAAGCTCAAAATAGGCACGCTCTCATGAGTCAAAAGTCACAAGAAAAAATTGTACCTAACGGTAACATAGTTTTCAAATTAAATAATACAATTAATATTAAAATGTTTGTCAAATTATGTCAAATTAAGGATATTTATTTTTCTTACATATCTCTAGTTAGTTAGTTTCCATTTACTTATTAACAATTCAACATATAGGAGGAGCCTAAAGTAAACGGCACCAACTCATTTTCTCCAAAGTAACATTAATTGACATGTTTATTTAATTTTATATTAGAATATTTAATTTTATCTTTCACCAAGAATTTCGATACAGTCATAATTTCTCAATATAAAAACATACTTCATATTCATATGTTACTTTAAATTAATATAATATAAATAATAGCAAGATATTACATACAAGTATGTATTTAAAAAAAAAAAAACGATTGATTAACGGTTAGACTTCTAACATCCAAAAGAAAATATTGTCTTAAGAAAGGATATATATATGAGTACAACCAATCTTTCTGAATATTGAAAATTACAAAAATGCTCTTGCTTACTTGTTTTATTAATTGACATTTTGTCCCTTAATTGAAGCTGTTGGGAATATTTATGACATTTGTCATGGTATATATATAATATATTGGCTCACCTATTTTATGGAGTTAATTGCAATTTTTTATGTATGGCATATCTTCTATAACAACTGTTAGGTGAGTGGAACCCTATTATTCTTTTTCAATATATTCCAAACTTTTGATTTATGTTATTTTTTTAACATGGTTTTTGTAAAAATATGTTGTCTAATGATTAAGCAGGTATAATAACAATATTATTGTTGTGAGGCTGACTATTCATTAGACATGCGTACCTTAAAAAAGCATAAAATGCTTTTTTTTTTTTATTATTATATTTACATTATGACATTTAAGTATAAAATTATATATTTAGTGAAATAGTATGACTGATTGATGTATTCATTTTATGCCATATATGTGTTAAACTAATTGGCAAAGAATGACATATATTTGACGGTAACATTATAAAAAGGGATAAATTGTAAACATTGACCCTGATTTTCAGTATATATACATTAATAATAGTAATAGAAGAAAATGAATACTGCAATTATTTTATATAAATAAACAAGCAATTTCTCTAACATATTTTTTAGTTACCCTAAACTTTTGTGATAGCTAATTAGCTATGAATCAACCATTGAAATAAAATATTTGGAGAGCAGCACCAACTTTCAACATGCTAGAGAGAAGAACGTATTAAATTAAGTCACGAGTTTCTTTGTCCATTTACAACCATGAAAGAAATAATAAAAAAAAATGAACAATAACAAAATAAAATAAATTCAAGATCTTATTATTCCTTGAGCTGTAAGATTCCTATTGGTTGATCATGTACCGAAATTCTGATTTTTTTGTCCATTAGTCAAATCCTCCACACTCATATAGACACAACTAAACACCTTTTTTTTTTTTTTTTTTTTTTCTNCCCCCTCAATTTAGATCAATTAGTATACTCACAATCTTTCATTTTTTACACTTCTTGTTACAAGTTTTTGCTCTTAGCATCTATCTTTGTGGTTCTAATTTGAGTTACTCTGCAAGCTATTCACAATTTTCTTGGTAAGGGTAAGCTAGTAAAAGTGTATTGAACAAGATCTATTACAATTACAAACATGTTGTTTCTAAAAGGCTATAAGTTCATGTATAATGTAGTAATAATTAACAATTTTGTTGTTATATCTGCAGTGCTCTTTCTATTTTTTCCCCTTATTTCTTTCGTTTTTTCGATTTTTCACCAGAGCTTTTTCATTGCAGTGATCTGCAAAAAAATGGATCAAGAACTTTGTGATAAAAGTGAACTAAAATGCACGTGGGCTGGCATTTTTAGCATCCTTAACTCCGGCCAAAGCTACCGGCCAAGTCCTTTCAAACTGATTTCAAGCCGCCGAGCTGCGAAAACGAACATTTCTGGTATTTATTTAGCTCGTCTTTTAAAACCATAATCGAACACTCTTCGTGTTTCTTGTAATGGGCTGAACACAGTTTTGTTATAACATTGTTATTTTTCATTCATTCATTTGCAGCAAATAAGTCGAGAAAGCTAGACGATGATTCGCCTGTCGGTTTTGATGAAAAATGCCAAAAAACTCAAGTAAGTATTTGACTCAAATTTCAAGTATAATTAGGGGTATTTTAGTAATTCGTCAGCGGCTCGACCTTCCAAAACCTATGCTCGAGTTTGGTCAAACTCGAGCTCGAGCCAAGCTTTGACTCGTTTGCAGCCCTACTGATAATGCATATCAATTTCCTTTTTTGTCTCAGAACAAAGAAGCAAAGATTGGCACCGAAAAAAGAAGTGTGAGGAATCTTATTAAAGATGATATGTACATCGACAGCCATGAAAACAAGAAAAAAAATTACAAGGAAGCTCGAAAGACGAGCCATTTGAGGGGAAATCGGTCAAGTTCCGAATCCGATGCCAAATGCTCGACCAATATTCAGCCTTCTTCAACTTCACCGGAGGTCGATGAGAAAATCGTGCAGCAAGCTAGAAATAGCGTAAAAGCTTTTATCGATGAAATGTTTGTTGACGGCAAATTATTAATACGCGAAGAAAATTCCACGAGAAACGAGCCATTACCCTTCTCAGATGCACTGCACGTTTTGAGCTCGTACAAAAAGGATTCCGATTGCTCGATAATTAGGCCGTCTCATAAAGCATCGAACGGAAAAATTCGAAAACCTACGGTTTTTTTTTCTGTCAAGGACATTAAGCACAAGTTGAAGCATTTGAGGAAAGAGGCTTCTCCTCACAAAAGATCCCATTTTTCATCATCACAAAATGGAAAGGAAAAGTTTCGAAAGAGAGTAGAGGTTAAAGAGCAAGAGAAGAACACGCGCAAGAAAATCGATTTTTCGATTTCAAGATTTTCGAATAGCGACGAGACAAATTCCTTTCTGACAAGAAGAAGCACCGATGAAGATTCTTCTTCACACAATAGCAGCATTTTCGAAACTGATCACAATACGAGGTTTAACGGTAAGGAGAGATTAAATTCTGTTAATAACATATAACCAAACATTTGGTTCATTTTTTCTTATTATATAATCTGTCGGTCGTTTTTTCTTTTCCTGCAGATGAGCCGCAAGTAATAGAAACAGAGAACACTGTAATAACGAGTTCTGCATCGGTAGGAACTTTCTAGATGCTTCTAGATACCATTATTATAATTACATTCTTTGTTCATCGGTTTTTTTCATAATGCTAACACATTTACGAGCATTTTCAGGGCTCAGTTTCGGATAATGAGACATTTACGAGCACAACTGATGAACAAGAAAGCCCGATTTCTGTTCTCAAGCAAGTGTTTTTCACAGAAGTAGCTATTATTAGTCCATCAAACACCATTCTTCAAACTGGTAATCAAAACCTTAGAAAAATTAGAAAAGAAAATTATAAAGTTCATACATTTTTCTGTTTTCGAGCAAGATGAGCCGACTAAAGTTCACATTTTGAAATCATTTTTCTCTTTTTTCAGGCAGAAGAAAGAGACCACATCATCATAGACGTATTTTCTTCGAAAGTTGCTCAATCGAGTCATATCCACAAGATGATCAACCAATAAATGAAAAAGATTTCATCTCGAAATACGTTCATTGGTTGCTTCAAAGTTCGTTTTTAAACTGGGAAAAGCTATCTGAAATCGGTCCAAGACCCGAAAGGCTTCTTCTCCATTCTTACTTATTCAATGAAACCGAGCTTTTCGCTTCAAATCGTCAATATATCAATCACAGGCTTCTTTTCGATCACGTGAATGAAGTTTTGCTCGAAATACAGAGATCCCATTTTTCCTTTTTCCCTCGGCAACAAGTGTTGAGACATGAAAAGAGTGTTTTGCCATTGGAAAAACTCGTTCTTGATGAGATAATGAGAAAGCCTGAAGCTTACAGCTTACAACTTACTTCGACTGAGGGAAGAACAGAAAACGAGCTTCTCACGAGTGATGTTTTTGATTCAAGATCGTGGATTGATGCGCGAACTGAAGCCGAATATATAAATGTTCATATTTCGGAAGATATTCTAGAGGAATGTGTATTGGATATCATACTTGAGTTTCATTCATGAAGTATTAATTTGCTCGAGTTTTTGAATTTTCTGATTTACTATTCTTTATAGATAGTAAATACTATGAAATAGATGTATTAATTAGTACATTTTGATATTAATTAGTACATTTTGATATTAATTAGTACATTTTGATATTAGTAACACTGTCTGAGACTTGTCCAGAAATGCATACGGATGAAGAAAATGAAACGTAAACGATCAAAGGGAAAAAAACAGAACAACTTGAAAAATTGCATGAACTTTATTATAACTTATTAGTAACTCGAAAGATCCTAAGCGAATCAGATAGCGCCATCTGGACCTTTTGTCCTGCAGAGGCTTAAGCAAAATGCAAGATAGCCACGCAGATCGATAATACAATGCTTACAACATTTTCAACACGAACATTTTGTTATTTAACAAAATAATCGCTTTTAGATAATGTTCGATTAATTGTTCTGAGGCTATCAGTATTAACAAAACCTAACATATTTTTTCTGCTCAATTTTTTTTTAATTTTAAAATGAAACTGTAACGTTTCGCATTAATCAAGTAAATATTATTTTTATTTATTTTATTATATAATAACTACTACTAACAACTTAAAAATTCACACTAAATGATATATAAAACCATATACATATAACAAAATCCATCTTAAAATCTTTTTCATATTATATTTATTTAAAATTATTATTACAAAAATTACAGTTATTATAATCATTATATTGATTCATATATTAGTTAAATAGTTTATATTTGTATCGTTCATAATTACTAATGATAAAATTTATAAAATGTGATGTTCCTTAACTAACTTATGTTTTAAATATTATATACACACAAATATACCTTATAAAATTTTATTTTCATTTGTACTACAACAGATGAGTACTAATTAGATGGAATAGAATGACACTTTATAGAACCTATAAGAAATTGAATTGAATGAAATTATTCAGTTATACGTAGCAGGAGTTTCCAGTTCTTAGTTGTAATTAATTTCCAATACTCATCAATAACCAACTAAGAATGCCCATTTTAAATGCCTAATTTTTGGCCCTATGACCCAAATAGTGCCCCAATTGGAAATTTGTTGCCTTTTATGTTTCCCCATTTTATTTAGTTCCCCAGCAAAAACATGTTATTGTTTGGCCTTCAAATTAGAGTGCTACATTTAAATTAAGTGGACTGATGTAAACTGAAAGATACATTGTCTGAATTTGATTTAGCATTTCAAAATTAGTAGTAACTACTAACTAGAAACATTGCTGGCCATTTTTTTGGTCTACCACGTATAGTTATTTACTTAATTGTAACTTGTAACAGTTAGCAAGGTTCTTTTTAAAAATAAAATTAAAAAAAAAAAAGGAAAATGTTAAT